GGGAACTTGAGACAGAAAGTTGCAGAGACTTCATTTATCGAAACATCCTTTTTGAAATGAAATGAACTCCTGCTAATTTAAATGATTCGGTATTTGTTTTGATGTAACCCATGATGACGCGGGTGGCGCTGTGGGATAAACCACAGAGCCTAGGACTTGCCAATCAGAAGGTTGGCAGTTCAAATCCCCGCGAGGGGGTGAGCTCCCGTTGCTCGGTCCCTGCTCCTGCTAACCTAGCAGTTCGAAAGCACCTCAAAGTGCAAGTAGATAAATAGGTACCACTACTGTGGGAAGGTAAACGGCGTTTCCGTGCGCTGCTCTGGTTCACCAGAAGCAGCCTAGTCATGCTGGCCACATGACCCGGAAGCTGTACACCGGCTCCCTCAGCTAATAAAGCGAGATGAGCACCGCAACCCCAGAGTCGGTCACGACTGGACCTAATGGTCAGGGGTCCCTTTACCTTTAGCTTTTTAACCCATGATGATGATGAATTGCTTTGGAAAATATTTGAAAGGAAAATATTTGAAAGGGGGGGGTAATATTTGAAAGTCCTTTGATGGACTGTCTAGAATGTTAATTGCAATACCTTCCTCATCAGACAGGTTCCTGTAAAAGGATGGACAAACATGCTGGTACACACTTAACATGCCTTTGGACTATACGGATTCTTGAAAGAAAGAAAAAACGTTCTCACTTAAATCATAAATGTTCATCCCAAAACATAGTGGGGAAAGTGATATATTACTTAATTCCATTTAAACTACTGGAAAATAGCCTCAATTTTTTTTTTTTAAGTGAATCACCTACTTTTTAAATATTTGCATGTCTGCAGAGTCCCACAGAGTCCCACAGAGTTCAAGGGGACTTACTCCCAGGCATCCGATTTCAGCCTGGTTGTAAATTACCTTTGCCCATGAGCAAAACTAGAATGCAGGTGTGTTTTTGAGATACTGAACGGCATGTAAGAGAACTTGGAATTTAATAAGCAAGAGCTACCCCATTATTAGAAAGGAAAGGGATATTTGGTATATTTCTTTCCTACCACAGTAACACATCAACACCAAAATGCCTTTAAAAATAAAGATGTGCCCTTCAACAGGCTCAACAGAAACTTACTCTCTCACTAATAAATCAACAAAACTTTGATTATTCTGCAAACAAAACCTGTAAGAGTTTTCCACCCTGGTTTAATCACAAAATCATGTATTCTAGAACCTTTTAGCAATCTTTATTCCTGTCTCTGTAAAACTCAAAAGTCATACCAGTCATCCGTGCTTGTGGGCTCTTTTCCCCTGTTCTTCTTTCCAAATATTTCTGTTCTTTCTGTTTGTGTTCTTTTGCCTCTCGCACATTTACAGAGCACAAATTGCCGTCTCCTGTTCTTTGCAACTGAAGAGAATTGTGCATCTGGAAACAGGAGCGAAGCCCCAGAGCAACTAGACATTGATTTAGGAAGCCGCTATCTTGCAAAGGGATCAGGTGGGATTTCTTTTTAAAGCACCAGCTTCCTGTTACCTGCAGGCATCTTTGTGCATTCAAGGACATTGCTTGAGGGGAAAACGTGCTTTGCGATAGGAGAAAGAAGGTGCAAAACTGACTTTGCTGGATGTGCACATATGGAACAAGCCAGACACACGTTTGTGATCCAGTTGCTCATGAGAGAGGGAGCGATCCAAGGGACAGCGCTGTGACATTTGCTGTAACCAATTCCTAACTTTTAGAAATTTTAGTCGCAGACTCAGGAATCAAAAGTTTTGTGTATCTTTTGTAGGAAATGTATATTTGTGTGCATTCTGCAATCTCCATTTTGTCTGCAAAGGATTAAAGGAGGATAATTTGCAGAAATATTGTCAAAAGCCAAATTGTGCCCCACTACCAGATTAAGGGGATGCAGGGGGCGCTGTGGGTTAAACCACTGAGCCTTGGGCTTGCCGATCAGAAGGTCGGTAGTTTGAATCCCCACGACGGGGTGAGCTCCCGTTGCTCGGTCCCTGCTCCTGCCAACCTAGCAGTTTGAAAGCACATCAAAGTGCAAGTAGATAAATAGGTACCACTCCGGCGGGAAGGTAAACGACGTTTCCATGCGCTGCTCTGGTTTCGCCAGAAGCGGCTTAGTCATGCCAGCCACATGACCCGGAAGCTGTACACCGGATCCATCAGCCATTAAAGCGACATGAGCGCCACAACCCCAGAGTCGTTCACGACTGGACCTAATGGTCAGGGGTCCCTTTACCTTTACCTTACCAGATTAAGGGGATGTGGGTGGCGCTGTGGTGTCAACCACTGAGCCTTGGGCTTGCCAATTGGAATGTCGGCGGTTTGAATCCCCATGACGGGATGAGCTCCCGTTGCTCGGTCCCTGCTCCTGCCAACCTAGCAGTTCGAAAGCACATCAAAGTGCAAGTGGATAAATAGGTACCACTCCGGAGGGAAGGTAAACGGTGTTTCCGTGCGCTGCTCTGATTCGCCAGAAGCTGCTTAGTCATGCTGGACACATGACCTGGAAAAACTGTCTGCGGACAAACGTCAGCTCCCTCAGCCAGTAAAGCGAGATGAGCGCTGCAACCCCAGAGTCGTTCGTGACTGGACTTAACTGTCAGGGGTCCTTTACCTTTTTACCAGATTAAGCTTTGAGAACTGCTGAAATTTCACACTCTCCAACATTCCTCAGATAACAAGACAGACATTTTCAACTGAGGAATGTTGGAGGTATGCTGCCCCTTTGGCTTCTGTATTTCTGCCACCCCCACCACACCTGCCCTGGAGTTCTCACTCCCCCCCAACTGACCCTTATTGATCCCCCTGCTTTTCAGATTTGTTTGTGTATTTCCTTGACAGTTTGTCAGCGCAGCTTTTTCCTGACTCACTCTTATCTTCAGTCCGGGCTGCTGTCCAAGCCTGCCATTTCAAGTTTTATGACGCAGTAAATTCCAGAGTTCTTGAATTGAACATTCTTTTGGAAGCCGAACGTCCGACGGGGCTTCCGATTGGCTGCAGGAGCTTCTTGCAGCCAATCAAAAGCCGCGCTTTGTAAGTCGAACGTTTTGGAAGTTGAATGGATTTCTGGAATGGATACTGTCCGACTTCCAAGGTACTACTGTACTTGTAAGTCCCCATGCATTCTAAAAAATGGAATATGCAGGTTAATTGAGATACAGCTCAGCATTTTCTGCTCAAGCATGTTCAGTCACATAATTATATCCAAGCTTTTTGAAAGCCTCTTAGGTGCTGGGTCAGCCCATTTTGGTTGGAGGATTTTGCTGTATCTTTAATTTTTCTGCCCAAAGCGGTATCTGTATCTGGAGGATCTTACTCTCCAAATGGAGGTGTACTATTTTTAACCTTTTCCTGAAAGGCAAATGAAACTGGAGGTGGTTTCTCACTCTTGCAGACATTTTTATCTCCTGGTTTTAGCCAGAGGTACCACTGTATCAGGAAATTTTATGTGCCTAATGTTTTACAATTTTTTATGTGCTGTAAGCCGCCCAGAGTGGCTGGGGAAACCCAGCCAGGTGGGCAGGGTATAAATTTAAAAAAATAAAATAAAATTTAAGCACATTGACAGATATCAATTTTCAGGAATTCCTGTGGGAGGCAGTGGAATCACAACCTAGCAAACTGTGTGTTGGTAGGAAGTATGATGGCTTCGTTCATCATTATTCTTGTTCCGATATTGGCAATTGCTCATTTTGTGCAAGTGTCATCACAAATAACTTTGACACAGCTATTATCTTCTACATTGTGAACACTTACCGTAATGACAATTATCACACCTGTCTCTTCATTAATCACTATGCGGGTTGGAGTTGCAATCCAGCATCATTTCTGAGGCCACAAATTAAGACACCCCTGCCTCAGGTGGATGAGGAGAGTACCTGAAGGAGCGTCTCCACCCCCATTGTTCTGCCCGGACACTGAGGTCCAGCTTAAAGGGCCTTCTGGCAGTTTCCTCCCTGCGATAAGTGAGGTTGCAGGCAACCAGGCAGAGGGCCTTCTTGGTAGTGGCACCCGCCCTGTGGAACACCCTCCTGTCAGATGTCAAGGAGATGAACAACTATCTGACTTTTGGAGGACATCTGAAAGCAACCCTTTTTAGGGAAGTTTTTAATGTTTGATGTTTTATCATGTTTTAAATATTCTGTTGGGAGCCGCCCAGAGTGGCAGGGGAAACCCAGACAGATGAGCAGGGTATAAATGATAAAATAATAATAATAATAATAATAATAATAATAATAATAATATCTGGAAGGTCAGGGGAACTGGCAGAGAAGGGGAAGGGGAAGGGAAAGGTGAGAATTCTTTTCCAGTTAAGATGTTAATTCAAGCCACAAAGGTTCTTGGTCTGTAAAGCTCAGCTGCACTATGATGTAGGCTTTCATACTGTAACTTATAAAATAGCCATTGCGATCTTCTGCCACATCTTAGTGTAGCCGAATCTAAATGGCAAGGCAAATATACTGTATTTTTCGCCCCATAGGACACACTTTTTCCCCTCCAAAAATGAAGGGGAAATGTGTGTGTGTCTTATGGGGCGAATGCAGGCTTTCGCCGAAGCCTGGAGAGCGAGAGGCATCGGTGTGCACCGACCCCTCTCGCTCTCCAGGCTTCAGGAAGCTATCCGCAAGCCTCGCGCCCCCGGTGGGAGGTACCACCGGGCGCGCAAGGCTTGGGGCGGCAGCCTGCAGCCCGAAGCACGGGGCACGCTGTGGAGCACGCCCCGTGCTTCAGGCAGATGTCTGCAAGCCTCGCCGCCCGGTGGGAGGTCCCGCCAGGCGCGCAAGGCTTGGGGCGGCAGCCTGTTCTGGGGGCTGGGGAAGCTCGGGCTTCCCCCGCGCCTGGGGGGGAAATAAATTTTTTTTTCTTTATTTCCCCCCCCAAAAAATCTAGGTGCGTCCTATGGGGCGGTGCGTCCTATGGGCGAAAAATATGGTAGTTAAACTTTAATTCTTAAATGTTCCCATCTTACATTTTTCAACATATGAAGCAACAAAAAGATCACATTTCCCTCAATTGATTTACTGTGGATTTATCCATTCATTTGAAGAAAATCTTTCTTCATTCAAGCACTTGCTTGGAACTATAGCAACAACTACTGAATGAGTCTTTATATTCAAGCCCCTCCTCCAACTGGAATAAAGACCGACAGACACCTAGTTGGTCTTGCACCAGCTTCTATAATGAGTCAATGAAAAAATAATAACCAGGTCCTTCATCCGTATGGTTTAGTTTCAGCAATCATGGGTATTGTTTTAATATTACAGTTCACTGGAATGGAAATACAATTCAGAAGGATTTTTTTAAAGTTGATGATCAATAATGTAGTCATTTGAAAAATATTTTGAATTCTCCAATACAGAATCAATTAATTTTACAGATGTTCTCCTGTCCCTTCTTGACGGAAATGATGCTTCTTCAATGCGAACGAAATTGGACAGCTCACATCTATTAATCTAAATAGGAATGATACTGATACTGTGTTTTGGGATGCGAGGGCAAAACTAGACATAGAAGCGGATTGCAATGAAGTGTATTAACTCCCTTTGGAACGACTTTTTCACCTCTGACTTGGGATTACAGCAATAGCAAATACTAAGCATGCTTTCAAATATCACACACAATTCACTTTGTTTTTAGTGTTTTCATACATGTTCAGTTATCAATACCTGGCTTTTCAAATTCCTGATTTATTTCTATCAAGCATACCGGGTTCTGGGAGTTTCCCCCCTTATGCATAATGTAGTTCAAAGTATGAGCCCTTTATTATCCTTGGCTAGAGTGTGGCATGCAGTTAAAGCTCAGGCCCACATCTCTTTTTCTGTTGCAAAAGAGACTCGCATTGGTGAGGGATGTTTTGCAAAAACCGCACACCTCAAACTTGGACCAGGTGCTTAGGCTGGAATTACGTAGAGAAATCACACACATCCATACATGAAGACAGGAGGTGCATATTCAGCAGCAGAAGTAATAAACATTTTTGTAAGTATGCAAAGAAACCCATTGTCCGTATTCTGACATGAATAAATACAATTTAGAAATAAATATCTTTGTAAGAAAAATAAATGTATATGTATCAATAAATAGAATGGCTTGAATTGATAGATCTTAATAAATAAGCTTCTTGGCTGCAATTAATGTATTCTTCAAAAGCATAGCAACTGTCATTGGTCCTACGCCTCCCGGGACTGGCGTGATGAAACCAGCTTTCTTCTTTACCTCTGGGGGGTGGGGGTGGGGAGCAATAGAAAATGCAAATAAAACTTAAGTTAATATGCTGGTCATCAGACAAAGCAACCCACAAACAACAGTGTGAGGAACAACATTTCTGTTTGCTGGTCAAATTACAGATGCCAATAGGCAATACATTTCGAAATGGTTTTGTTTTTTTTACAATCCCAGGATTTAGAGTCTGATCATCGAATTTATTATTTCATAAGATTAATCGCAGTTGATATCTGCGAATCAACTCCAAAGATGGGTTGAAGTCTTCCTTTGTTACAGATTCATTATGAGGCCTTGGCCAAATCAGTCTCCACCCCCCAATCTATACACTGAGAACAAGAATTTATTTGTGCTAAGTTCTTTAAAAGGTAAAGGGACCCCTCAACATTAGGTCCAGTCGTGACAGACTCTGGGGTTGCGGCGCTCATCTCGCTTTACTGGCTGAGGGAGCCGGCGTACAGCTTCCGGGTCATGTGGCCAGCATGACTAAGCCGCTTCTGGCGAACCAGAGCAGCGCATGGAAACACCGTTTACCTTCCTGCCGGAGCGGTACCTATTTATCTACTTGTACTTTGACGTGCTTTCAAACTGCTAGGTTGCAGGAGCAGGGACCGAGCAACTGGAGCTCACCCCGTCGCGGGGATTTGAACCGCCGACCTTCTGATCGGCAAGCCCTAGGCTCTGTGGTTTAACCCACAGTGCCACCTAAGTTCTGTACTCCAGTCCTAAAATTAAAGCCATGTTTATTTCAGAAGAAATCAAGGGATGCTCATAAATCTTGAAAGCATAACTCCTGTTCTCGGTGCGGAGGGAGGGGACCTCACAAGGAGGTGGGAAGAGCTAAAGGTTTGTTGTTTCTCAAGCAACTGTCATGTTTTCATTGAAATTTATGGGAACACAAGAGACTGGAGCAGGTCTGAGCTGATAGTGTAAATTAGGCCTGATCTGAAAAGTGTCAACGTGAGGCCATTTTAGACGGGTCCATTCCAAATCAAGTTTGGGGAAGGTTGCCCACAAATACATCAAAGCATCTATTTTAGGTGGTGTGTTTTAATTCTCTAAATACAGCTAAACTTGGTGGAACAGTATCAACATTTTGCAATGCCTTCGGTACTTTCAATGTTTTTTCGGCTTGTAAAAGCAACAAAATCCATCCTTGACAAACTGGATCCTCAGCTTTGGAAGCCCTCATTCTTGGGGCTTTTTTAAAGTGGAGAAGTTCAGGCCAAATAGGATATATTAGCCCAGAATACTCATCTCCATGTAAGGAGAAAATACATAGTTCTTTGAACAAAGTTTTTGCAAACCTGGGACACGTTTTACATTAGGTACTGGGGGTTTTTGTGTGTGTGAAATAACTATATTAGCAGAACACTGTTGGTTAATGTTTAAATCATATGAATATATGCACACACACAACACTATTAAAATGCTTAACATAAAAGAAAATTACATGAGAAAATGGAAGTACTGATAAGCCCCATGAAATGAACTTTCTCAAAAGTTACTCAAGGAAATAGCTGGGTAAAGCACCCTTCAGATTCTCTAGGGTGTCCAATTCCTCTAAATATGTGGGTTAACTTTCAGTACGGCTCTTAATATTTCTCTTTTGGCCAAGGGAAAAATAATGTGTTATTTAAACTCGCTGCTTCAAGAGCAGCTGTAACTGGAACAGATTCCTACTCCCCCCCCCCAAAAAAAACCAAAACCACTGCCATTTTGCTTACCTTCAAAGTCCACATCCCCCACTAAGTTGGTCTTTCCTGTGAGAGGATCGTGGATATGGTTGATCCCGACATCGATCACTGCTGCCCCTTCTTTAACCATATCAGAAGTAATCAGCTTTGGGACACCTGAAACCACCAATCCAATTAGGATTCACAGATCCTGAGGGGCGGGGAGGAGAAATGTGAATACTTAAGCTTTTAAGCACTTTATATTTGATGAGGGATACTCATACCTCAGTCATTACGTCCATAGTTTCATCGGAGAAATTATAGATGGTATGGTTATGCGAGCCAAGGAGACGAGTAACTATACAGCCTTTAGAACATGGGTAGGCAAACTAAGGTCTGGGGGCCGGATCCGGCCCAATTGCCTTCTAAATCCGGCCTGCGGACGGTCTGGGAATCAGCATGTTTTTACATGAGTAGAATGTGTGCTTTTATTTAAAATGCATCTCTGGGTTATTTGTGGGGCACAGGAATTCGGTCATTTCCCCCCCTTCAAAATATGGAGGTCTGAGGGACAGTGGACCGACCCCCTGCTGAAAAAGTTTGCTGACCCCTGCTTTAGAAGACATCTGAAGGCAGCTCCGTATAGGGAAGTTTTTTAAATGTTTAACGCTTTATTATGTTTTTATATATGTTGGAAGCTGCCCAAAGTGGCTGGGGCAACTCAGTCAGGTGAGTGGGGTATAAATAAAATAATAATAATAATAATAATAATAATGATAATAATAATAGGACATCACTAGTGCCATCAGAGAAATGTTGGGAGGGTATGTAGTGGTGTGTTTATAGCATTGTGCATGGCTGGAAACAAATATTTAGAAACCACAAGTCCCTTGAACCTTATAGACTAGCAGAATAGCAAAGAAGGCCAGCACTGCCACTACAACCTTCAACGGCAAGTTACGAAGAAGAATTACAGACCTCTGGAGGAAGGGCAAAGCAGTGACAATGTCAGAGGAGGGGGAAAATAATCCTCAGAAAATGTTGGTATTTGTAGAATTAAACAGGCCTATAATTATATTGGCATACCAAGAATTCTGCAAATACTCAGGTGTAATTAGGCAATTAAGGCATTTCTAAGTTTGAGGTTGATTTTTTTCCACAGACATTTTGGGCTACCATGAGCCATCAGCTCCTCCTCACCCCCAAGGATTTCAAAATAAAACCTCTTGCTTATATAACTTAAACCTATTAAATAATAAATACAGCATTTTTACAATTCCAATACTGCAACTGTAAACCTGGCTGTAAATTGGATATAAGGACGGTAGAACCCAGGACCAAAGTTTTCCATCTCCCTATTTATTAATTCTGTACTATTCTTGTAAATGCTAGACACTCTGAAATTTTTTATTCCTAAAATGCCATTGTTCCCAAGCTCTTGCCAAATTCTAGGCAAGTTAAGTAAATGCTGGCTGCTTTGCATAAATAGCTGCTAGTGAAAATGTGAACTCTTCAGTGCGAAAGTGAGCCTGCGCCATAGCTTGCACCCATAAAATCCATATTGTATGCAATTTTCACTTTACTGCGGCACAAGCATGAAACATGCGAAGTTTGTGGTCACAGAGACAACATAATAGTGACTTTGAGACCTACGACACACAGGCCCCACTTACAAAACATAATGCATTCCTTGGAAATTGTTAACTAGGCAAGGGTTCGCATATGAGTTGATGATTGCAACTGATTCCTATGGGAAATTCTCTAATGTGTTCCCTGTTAGAATTCCTGCTCTGTGATTGCAGTCATGGGATTGTTGTCTATCACATGACGGTGTATGTTTTGACTCCACAGTGTGGGAAGTGACGGAGACAGGATGTTTGTGTTACTGTGTTCTGTGAAGTGGGACTATTGTCCTTTGTTCTTTCTCTCTTTGCTGTCTGATGCTAGAGAGGGAGCCATGTTGCAGTGCTCCGTGTATATTTATATGTAAATAAAGTAAATAAAGTAGACGCGTAAATAAAGAGGGACGTGGGTGGCGCTGTGTGTTAAACCACAGAGCCTAGGACTTGCCGATCAGAAGGTCAGCGGTTCAAATCCCTGCGACGGGGTGAGCTCCCGTTGCTCGGTCCCTGTTCCTGCCTAGCAGTTCGAAAGCACGTCAAAGTGCAAGTAGATAAATAGGTACCGCTCTGGCAGGAAGGTAAACAGCGTTTCCATGCACTGCTCTGGTTTGCCAGAAGCGGCTTAGTCATGCTGACCACATGACCTGGAAGCTGTACGCTGGCTCACTCGGCCAATAAAGCGAGATGAGTGCCGCAACCCCAGAGTCGTCCGCAACTGGACCTAATGGTCAGGGGTCCCTTTACCCTTTACCTTTAAAGTAGATTAGCCAAAATGCGGTGTTGCTGAGGTCTGTTACGCAAACTGCGAACACTCTGCGGATCCCTAAGTGTCCCGGTGTCTGTTGGCATCGGTTGCTGTGATGTTCGGGCTGAAGAAAGCTTTTGAATCTCCCAAACAAAAGACCAGGAGGGAGAGAACATGCCAGTCGGGCATGTGTCTCTGCCAGGGTCCTACTCGAGTGTAGGACGAGCTCCTGACATTTCCTAACACACCCTCACCCAAAAGCAAAAAGACCAAACAAACCCTTGGGAACACCTAGAAGAAATGCTCTCTTATTTGTTCAATCGCTCCCTGCTCCTTGCAGATATCTGAATCTGCCGTGTATATAGCAAGGTTTGGGTACTATTTCCTCATATTTGGACATGAGAATTTTTCCATAATGAACATTTGTAAAGTGGGATGTGTGTGTATATTTGAATTTTATTGTATTTTAAAACATTGACAGTGCTACATTACCTGCAGCAACTATTACAATATCAGCAAGCTGCGTATGGATCTTCAGCTGATCTTTGGGTGTGTATCTGTGAGCAATTGTAACTGTAGCATCACCTGAAATACATATATATTAGTCCCAATTACTGATCATTTACAAAACTGCAATGCAGTTGTGATTAAAATGATTGTCGTAGTGTTAGCAAACTGTTTGCAGCACTTTCTTTAGTTTGCCATTATTTTGGCAGTACGGTATCAGGCCCTGTAAAATAAATTATATTTCTGGAAGCCTCGAAAACAATACAAATGTCTTATCACACAAGGTTTTCATTCTAGAATGCACTTTTGGCACAATCCACTGGAAAATTATTCTGTGCGAGGCTCATTGAAATAAATGGGGCGTGTGCATGAGAACTTTGTAACCGTGGTCTTCTTTTTCCCTACAGACATTAAAAAGAAACACTGACATCCGAAAATATCCTCATCTTATCTGAAACTCAAACTCTAGAGTAGTCCGAATGATCACAGTTTGGAAGGTCAAAATTACTCAGGGCCAAATGTCCAGCAGATTCTCTTAAGAACAGCTGGCATTCATCATACTATATGGGCAGGTAAGAGTATACAAATAGCAAAATGGGTTATGTCCCTAAAAGCTAAGGATCTAAAACATTATTTTGAAAATCAGACATTCTAAATCCTGTTATGCATTTAGATGCTTACAAACTATTTTTCCTTCCTTTGAACCTTCCCTTTTCTCTGTGCTGAGGGTTTCAACAAAACAGAATGTTATTCAACATACCTCCGGGCCTTTCATGTCCTCCGTCGGTATGTAAAAGCATTGAAATAGGCATTCCAACATTCTTTGATCTCCCAACGACAACGACGTTTCTTCCAAATGTTTGTATTCCTTTCAGAAGGAGAAAAATAATATCGAAGAGAGTGACTCATTCCTATGGAATGAAAGGCCTTCGATCGTACAGATTTGAAATGTTAGATTATTATGAATGGCGATCAGTGGCTTTTCTTTACAAAACATAACCCAAAACGTCTAACAAAATAGTACTAAGATTAAAACCAGCGTAGTGTCAAAACAGAATAAAACCTTTAAGAAATCCATACATTTAAAGGCAGGTCTAACGCACCCCACCAGTTGAAAGAGGGCACAAATATCTGAAACCCTCCAAATTAAGGGCTTGGGTAAAGAAGGTCCGGCTAAAAGAAGATTTTTTGCCTGGAACCTAAAAGTAGATAGTGATGTCAACAGAATTATCTCTCTGGGGATTCCATAATCTGGGAGCTACCACTAAAACGTTCTCATGTTGCCACTCTCTGTACGTCCTTCAGAGGGGGCACAAAGAGAAGGCCTTTGAATGCCACATTCAGAGCCCAGTTTGGTTCATGTGGCGAGTGGCAGTCCTTGCGACAGGAAAACCAGATCTAGCTATTGAACATAATTTTCCTTTTGGAAACATTTGTTCTTTTTCTAGTATAGAAACTGTGGTAGGGTACCATAGTTAAGTGCTCCTTTTTTGCTGAATTAACCATTATGTGACTGACATTACAGTTGTACCTTGGAAGTCGAATGGAATCCGTTCCGGAAGTCCGTTCGACTTCCAAAACGTTCGGAAACCAAAGTGTGGCTTCTGATTGGCTGCAGGAAGCTCCTACAGCCAATCAGAAGCTGCAGAAGCCCCGTTGGACATTCAGGTTCCAAAGAACGTTCGCAAACTGGAACACTCACTTCCGGGTTTGCAGCGTTTGAGAGCCAAAACGTCCTAGTACCAAGGCGTTCAGGATCCAAGGTACTACAATACAGCAAAGCTGTATCCCTTTCGGAGGTAATAGCTCGCTAGATAATTCCATCTTGAAATACCACATCTTACATCAAAGCCAGACTCTAAACCAGAGCTTACATATTTATGTAGCTCTATATAGAAGGAGCGTCTCCACCCCCATCGTTCTGCCTGGACACTGAGGTCCAGCTCTGAGGGCCTTCTGGCAGTTCCCTCGCTGTGAGAAGCCCAGTTACAGGGAACCAGGCAGAGGGCCTTCTCGGTAGTGGCACCCACCCTGTGGAACGCCCTCCCATCAGATATCAAAGAGAACAATAACTACCAAACTTTTAGAAGACATCTGAAGGCAGCCCTGTTTAGGGAAGCTTTTAATGTTTAATAGGTTATTGTATTTTAGTGTTCTGTTGGAAGCTGCCCAGAGTGGCTGGGGAAACCCAGCCAGATGGGCGGGGTATAAATAAATTATTATTATTATTAGATGAGGTGCCTACTCTTGATTTACACTCTGGTAAGAATTAAGTTCTGGAAACATCCTGGGCTGGGTTAAAGTAATGCACTGCCTTGGGGGCTGCTGCTAGAAACAACCCCAAAAATTAGTGCACAACTCAGCTGCCCAAATTTTGACTGGTCCAGCCAGAGTGACTGTATTACACATAAAAAAAAAATATTACAATCGCTACCTTTTTGGGAAATAATTATTAAATTGTTACATTTATGTCCTGTCTTTCCTCCAATGACCTCAAGGTGATGTGCATGGTTCACCTGCCATCTTATCCTCATAAGGACTGTGCAAAGTAGTTTAAGCTGAAAAATAGTGACTAATCCAGTCTCCCATTTGAAAACCAGTTTCCCCATATCTAGCTGACCACTCTAACCGCTATACCACACTGGTTGCCTGAAAGCAACAGGGATCAAAAAAGAGAGAAAACTGCGGTTTTTCTGCACCTTGTACCCCACTGCTAAATATTAACAAAAAATATTTTGGTGCACTCCTTAAAACAAAAAGATGGGCTAAGCATATCCAATGAAACAAACCACAGTGCAAATCCAAATTTTATAGCATCTCCGATTTCATTTAGGATTTAAGCACCGCAGGATCGTATAACTTGATACCCTATATTTCTCTGAAACACCTCATTTCTCTTACCTGTTCTTTTTATTATTTCCCAGACAGCAGCAGCAGTGGCAGGTATAACAGAAGGTTGGTCAAGACACAGTTGTCCTATATTGAAAATATGAAAACCATCCACATCCTTTTCAGGGGCAACAGTGTTACACACAGTTCTTTCATCAATGTGACCTGGAAAATACAATTTCATGTCCTTTTTGTTATCTGGAACTTGTCTGATGGGCTTTATGTTCAGTGGAGAACAAACAGTGTTGAGCAGGAGGATGTTTCTCGGATTCTACGAGGATCTATTTACCACTACAGTGGTACCTTGGTAGTCGAACAGCTTGGCTTCCGAACAAATTGGCTCCCAAACGCCGCAAACCTGGAAGTAACTGTTCTGGTTTGCGAATGTTTTTTGGAAGCTGAACGTCCGACACAGCTTCCAATTGAGTGCAGGAAGCTCCTGCAGCCAACTGGAAGCTGTGCCTTGGTTTTCAAAAGGTTTCAGTAGTCGAACAGACTCCCTGAATGGATTAAGTTCGACACCCAAGCTGCTTTTTCTATTACACATTGTTATCCATCTTATTTAGTATTTAAAACAGAACTTATTTATTCTAATAGAAAAAAAGCATGAAATTAGGTTAAAGGCATGTGAAAGAAAGTAATAGAAGTGGAAAGAAATTGCAATTGAGTAGATTGGAAGCCTAACACAAAGGTGGTGGATGGTGATGGGAAAAGGAATTATCTGTGGGATTGAGTGTAGGTATGTTTGAACATTTTTAAGGCTTGTATGAAATGTGTTTGTATATTCACAATATGTGTGTATTAATGCTGAATTATTTTAACAATAAAAACTTTTCCTAAAAAAAAAAGTTTGTCAACCAAGGTACCACTGTACTCCTAGATTTTTGATGTCCACAATCTGTTCTGTGGGTTTCTGGAGATCACCAGCACATATCCTTAGCATTACTGTCAACCTGATCTGGGCGGATGATCTCCTCCCACAGACCATCCACAAAAGCAAAACCTATCTGACTGTTTGAGCTGCCTTTTGAGGATGAAGAGGCTCTGGTGGACGTTTCATGCAGAACTTCTGGTCAATAACCTGGACTGTGGCAATTTGGGCTCATGGTTGAATGGGAGAACAACGAATGTTTTTCGGCTGTCCAAAAGGACTGCTGAGGTTTGACCTGCCTTCTTATTTTTGGTTTCAAAATTCACCAAGCCAAAGAACTTGGTGATGGAAAAGGGGCACCCTTTTATTACAATTCTAGGTCCAAAATCCAGTGACAAGAGCCATATGTGCATTCTGGCTATGACCTTGGAAATCATGAGTTTGGAGTTAAATCTGATCATTTCCAAGGACAAATCTGTCAATAGTGCAGCATACAAATAGTTTTTCTCAAGACATTTTTTACGGCCTTTGGAGTAAGGTAAAGGTAAAGGGACCCCTGACCATTCGGTCCAGTCGTGACAGACTCTGGGGTTGCGGCACTCATCTCGCTTTACTGGCCGAGGGAGCCGGTGTACAGCTTCCGGGTCATGTGGCCAGCATGACTAAGCCGCTTCTGGCGAACCAGAGCAGCGCACGGAAATGCCATTTACCTTTCCGCCAGAGCGGTACCTATTTATCTACTTGCACTTTGACGTGCTTTCAAACTGCTAGGTTGGTAGGAGCTGGGACCAAGCAACGGGAGCTCAGCCCGTCGTGGGGATTCGAACTGCCAACCTTCTGATTGGCAAGTCCTAGGCTCTGTGGTTTAACCCACAGCGCCACCCGCGTACCAACCTTTGAGTAATCAGGTTCAATTATGTCAGATACACAGGTCACACGTCGACTGCCCTTGCAAACATCAAGTTGGCAACTGATGCTCTGAGCAATACTGCTGAGGCTTTAAAGCTTGTCTTTAGAGCTACCTCCATGCACAAGAATTCATAGCTTTGCCTTTGCTCTCTGCAGTACATAAGAGCACAGCCTAACCTGCATTCACCACACAAGTTTTAAGTTTGTCTATGGTGCAAAGAGTCAACGCACAGTGCTGAGCCTGCTTCAGTTTATGTTACACTGCCACCATGTGGTCAATCTTTCATTCTCATTTATTTATGAAATGTATAATTTGAACCAAATAGTTCTAGTGTAGAAACTGCAAGCAGGTGAATAAAATCATCATCATCATCATCAATCTTTATTAGGTCCAGTGACCCAACAAATCGTTACAAAGCAATACACAATTCATACAGCCTACCTCCAGGTTAAACAAGCATTTTGTTCAGAATATAGGGATCGTTGGTTCTTGCAACCACCGATAAAAACTTTGCAGATGCTAATGTTCTAGCGTTTGTCCGGTCTTCCAATAGGAACCTGACATAGTGAGCCTCTGATTTTCCCGGGAACGGTACCAGCAAGGGTAATATCAGTTCAGCCCTGGCTTGCTCATATTTTGCACAGTGCAACAAAATATGTTTTATGGAATCAATGTCTTGAGCACACGAGCAAAGTCTGTCCTGGTAGGGAACTCCTCTCAACTTGCCATCCATAACTGCAGAAGGAAAGACGTTTAGTCTGGCTTTGGTGAAAAGCCTTCAATAATTTGGTACTGTCAGGTTTTTAATTTAAGATGTTAACTTAAAGACATGCCCATATTGTACCCCTACTGCCAGCGGACTACAGACTGAGTGTGATTGAGATCGCAAGTCACTGTGTGCATTATCCCATAATCTTTGCTTTAACGTCTTTAGGGTGCCTTCATAACCCAGGTAATACAGTTGGGGGGGTGACAGGGTGGATGTGAGGGCAATCTGGGTGCGACATCTCTCACCCCATTGATCGCCAGGGTTGATTTGGCTGAATAAAATCAGCATTCTAGCCTGCAAGCACATTAATAAAAAATGGTATTGAAAATATGGCCCCCACTGTATGTTGGAAAAATAATTACCAATACGGTCAAGGTACTGAATAGTTCATAGAATCATAGAATCATAGAGTTGGAAGAGACCACAAGGGCCATCGAGTCCAACCCCCTGCCAAGCAGGAAACACCATCAGAGCACTCCTGACATATGGTTGTCAAGCCTCTGCTTAAAGACCTCCAAAGAAGGAGACTCCACCACACTCCTTGGCAGCAAATTCCACTGTTGAACAGCTCTTACTGTCAGGAAGTTCTTCCTAATGTTTAGGTGGAATCTTCTTTCTTGTAGTTTGGATCCATTGCTCCGTGTCCGCTTCTCTGGAGCAGCAGAAAACAACCTTTCTCCCTCCTCTATGTGACATCCTTTTATATATTTGAACATGGCTATCATATCACCCCTTAACCTCCTCTTCTCCAGGCTAAACATCCCCAGCTCCCTTAGCCGTTCCTCATAAGGCATCGTTTCCAGGTCTTTGACCATTTTGGTTGCCCTCCTCTGGACACGTTCCAGTTTGTCAGTGTCCTTCTAGTTTGGTTATTTATAAACCCTTTCTCTCCTTGCAAGGTTTATATCAAGTTAAGTGCACTTGATTTTTCTCATTTATTCCTCAAAACCACCCAACTTTGTGACATTGTATAAAATAACATTACCTGGCAGAGGTAACTGGACTAATATACCACTGACTCTTGGATCCTTGTTTAATCTGCCAGTCAGATCTAAAAGTTCTTCCTGAGAAATATCTTTGGGCCTCAGTATTATTTCACTACAAATGCCTAAAGTAAAAAGAGGAAGCAAACAATATCATCAGCAAAACATTAGTTCCGTTTAGTCACATGCAACAAAATTCAGATTGTGCAATTCTATCTATTGGTAGCATTTTTAATTAGAATACTAAAATAAATTCACACTCAGTATTTAATGGTTTATTTATTTTTTAAATATATTTTTCCTTACAGATAGTGGGTGAGGAACCCACAGCCATGGGGATGCTACAAGCCCTCTCTAGCTCTCAAGATCACTCCTCTGTAATGTATCTCTCTCTCTCTGTGTGTGTGTGTGTGTGTGTGAGAGAGAGAGAGAGAGAGAGAGAGAGAGACAGAGACAGAGACAGAGACAGAGACAGAGAGACAGAGACAGAGAGAGATGCAGTAGCCTGGGAAAAAGAACCTTGCAATGAGCCTCAGGGTGGGGAGCCTGGATGGGAAAAGAGAGGGGAGGGCAAGGGGGAACACAAATAAGAAATATTTGAGGGCAGGGGGTTTGCCCGATTTTGTCCTCGCTCAGGGAGCCATATTACCAAAGTCTGGCCCTGGAGGAGGAGCCTTCTGCAAGTCATCAGTTCCAAAATTTGTTAATTTCCGTATTTTTCGCTCTATGGGACGCAGTTTTTCCCTTCTAAAAAGGGAAGTATGGAGCGAATGCAGGCCGCACGGCTAAGCCCAAAGCCAGAACAGTGCTCCGTCTCACTGTTCTAGCTTGGGGATGGCTGTGCTAAGCCTCCACAAGGCAATGGGGTGCCTTCACCTCGCTGCCCTGTGGAGGCTTCACAGGCTGTCCCCGAAGCCAGAACAGCAAGAGGCTATCCCAGAAGCCATATCCCTCTTGCTGTTCTGGCTTCTGGGGTTCAGAATTTTTTTCTTCTTGTTTCCTCCCTCCCAAACTAGGTGCGTCTTATCGTCTGGTGCGTCCTATAGGGCGAAAAATACGGTAATGGGGAACAGTGGGGAGCCAAAATGGAGAGATGGGAGTGGGGGTGGGAAGGGGAGTAGAGAGACTGACAGAGCTCCCAGCAGGTGTCAAGGCAATAAACAACGATTTTACTTTTAAAAGACAACTGAAGGCGGCCCTGTTTAGGGAAGTTTTTAATGCCTGATGCTGTATTGTTTTTAATATTCAGTTGGAAGCCGCCCAGAGTGGCTGGGGAAACCCAGCCAGATGGGCGGGGTATAAATAAATTATTATTATTATTATTATTATTATTATTAATGCCACAAATTCTGCCCGCTGCCAGCATGGAGATTACCTCCCGGGGAATGCAGCCTCTGAAAGGAAACACATGTTGTGTCCAGAAAGCTGCCATTGTTCGGAAAACTGTTTGAAGAAAAAGGCATACCTACGGCTGCCGCTGCTTTTACTTTATTTCTCACATACGTGTGACTGGCTGGGTTGTCTCCTACTAAAACAACGGTGAGATGAGGCCTCTTGTTCCCAAGGGCAAGCCAGGAGTCTACATCCTTCTGTATCTCCTCGCAGACCTGGGCAGCCAGCCTTTTCCCTGAGATAATAGTTGCTTCGGTACTATAAAATACAAAGGACAAAACGCATCGTTAAAAGACTAAAGTTTTAAGGCCAACATATTACCGCTCAGCAAAGATGTCATCCTAAAGTCTGCATTAATAAACGTTGCCATTATAACACCTTAACCTGCGTATAAATGGCACAAGCACAAGATGGCTACAGCACCTAAGGACAGGGATCAGCAACCCGTTTGGATCAGTGGATAGGTTTGGGAATTTGAGAAAGTGCTGTGTAAAGGTAAAGGTAAAGGGACCCCTGACCATTAGGTCCAGTCGTGGCCGACTCTGGGGTTGCGGCGCTCATCTCGCTTTATTGGCCAAGGGAGCTGGCGTACAGCTTCTGGGTCATGTGCCCAGCACGACTAAGCCACTTCTGGTGAACCAGAGCAGCACACGGAAACGCTGTTTACCTTCCCGCTGCAGTGGTACCTATTTATCTACTTGCACTTTGATGTGCTTTCGAACTGCTAGGGTGGCAGGAGCTGGGACCGAGCAACGGGAGCTCACCCCGTCGCGGGGATTTGAACCGCCAACCTTCTGGTCGGCAAGTCCTAGGCTGTGTGGTTTCACCCACAGCGCCACCCGCATCCCTAAAGTGCTGTGTAGGGCATAACAAAACACACGAGAGCTGTTACGGGAGTGCAGCACAAACACAACATGGCTGCCATATTGAAACAGAGGGCAAGCCAGACATTTCCATGCATCTCCTTCCAGTCAGTCACAGTGAATCAATCCACAAATTCTGCAGCAAATCGCACAACACCGACAGCAACAGACAAACCCCAGGAAGGAAACACACAGCTCATAATACAGAATGTGGAACGAAGCTGTATCACTCTGACCTCGTCAGGAGAGTTTATATCAGTGTTTCCCAGCCTTTGGTCTTTGGCAGTTTTTGGACCACAGTTCCCATCATCCCTGACCACTGGTCTTCCTAGCTAGGGATGATGGGAGTTGTAGTCCATAAACAGCTGGAAACCCAAGGTTGGGAAAAGCTGGTTTATACAGTATCCCAGAGGGAGTTTGATGATACAAACCTTTATGCAACAGCATGGCATCCTGTTCCAATAAGACTGATAAAAAAGGCATATAGCCAAAGTTGATGCTCTCAAAAATCCTTACGAAAATCCTCACCTCAGAAGCTCTGAACATTAACATCCAACATAAAATTGCACTCTCTTCCTCCAAATAGAGGTGCAAACACCCCCCCCCCCTCAAAGAGCTAGTCAAGGAAGGGATCTCATGCCTTATTGTATTACCATTGTAAATATTTCCTCTCTCCCCCCCACCCACCTTGCAATGCATGGAAACTGCACTTGGCTGAACAACCCTTCCTTCCTCGATAGCCAATAACAATAATTCCCATACAGGTAGTGCCCGATTTACATATAAGCGAAACAAGCTATAGCTTAGGGCCCCACTCTCTTGGGAGCCCCCCAAAAACTTAAAGGAAAAAAACTCTCACATACAGCAACAGTGTTTTGTGTTGTGTAGGCTCCTATGATATAAGTAATGGGCCCCGCCTACTAGCCTGCTCTGTAAAATATGCCCTCTTTCTCTTTACATTTCCAACACAGTTTAGAACTTGTTTTGTACGTTTTAGCAATTTTACTCAGTGTTAAATACCAATGATACATAATTTTCATATAATTTTCTTTCAACGAACAGCATGCAGTCAATTTTATTTCCTCTTTCCATAACTTTTCCCGGGATGAAAGTTGGCTATTATATGCAAAGTCTCTATCATCACTGCCTTGATTTTTGCAGCTTTCTTGAGGCATGAGCAATGTGCAAGACATGACTTGACCTGAGTGCTGGATTTACGTATAAGCTAAACAAACTATAGTTTGTTGTTTTTTAGTCGTGTCCGAATCTTCGTGACCCCATGGACCAGAGCACGTCAGGCACTCCTGTCTTCCGCTGCCTCCCGCAGTTTGGTCAAACTCATGCTGGTAGCTTCGAGAACACTGTCCAACCATCTCGTCTTCTGTCGTCCCCTTCTTCTTGTGCCCTCAATCTTTCCCAACATCAGGGTCTTTCCCATGGAGTCTTCTCATGAGGTGGCCAAAGTATTGGAGCCTCAGCTTCACAATCTGTCCTTCCAGTGATCACTCAAGGCTGATTTCCTTCAGAATGGATAGGTTTGATCTTCTTGCAGTCCATGGGACTCTCAAGAGCCTCCTCCAGCACCATAATTCAAAAGCGTCAATTCTTCGGCGATCAGCCTTCTTTATGGTCCAGCTCTCACTTCCATACATCACTACTGGGAAAACCATGGCTTTAACTACATGGACCTTTGTTGGCAAGGTGATGTCTCTGCTTTTTAAGATGCTGTCTAGGTTTGCCATCGCCTTTCTCCCAAGGAGCAGGCATCTTTTAATTTCGTGACTGCTGTCACCATCTGCAGTGATCATGGAGCCCAAGAAAGTAAAATCTCTCACTGCCTCCATTTCTTTCCCTTCTATTTGCCAGGAGGTGATGGGCCCAGTGGCCATGATCTTCGTTTTTTTGATGTTGAGCTTCAGACCATATTTTGTGCTCTCCTCTTTCACCCTCATTAAAAGGTTCTTTAATTCCTCCTCACTTTCTGCCATCAAGGTTGTGTCATCTGCATATCTGAGGTTGTTGGTATTTCTTCCAGCAATCTTAATTCCGGCTTGGGATTCATCCAGCCCAGCCTTTCGCATGATGAATTCTGCATATAAGTTAAATAAGCAGGGAGACAATATACAGCCTTGCCGTACTCCTTTCCCAATTTTGAACCAATCAGTTGTTCCATATCCAGTTCTAACTGTAGCTTCTTGTCCCATATAGAGATTTCTCAGGAGACAGGCACTCCCATTTCTTTAAGAACTTGCCATAGTTTGTTGTGGTCGACACAGTCAAAGGCTTTTGCATAGTCAATGAAGCAGAAGTAGATGTCTTTCTGGAACTCTCTAGCTTTCTCCATAATCCAGCGCATGTTTGCAATTTGGTCTCTGGTTCCTCTACCCCTTCGAAATCCACCTTGCACTTCTGGGAGCTCTCGGTCCACATACTGCTATAGTTTAGGGCCCCACAAAAAATTAAAAGGGGAAAAAAAACTGGATGTACATTTCCAAAATATAAGATAAAAAACAAATAAAATAAAACTTACCTACAGCAACAGCGTTTTGTGTTGTGTAGGCTCCTATGATGTAAGTAATTTGTTGTTGACAAAGGACAGATGGACATATAAAGGGCCCCATTACCTTCAGTAGCTTAAAGGTAAAGGGACCCTTGACCATTAGGTCCAGTCGTGACCGACTCTGGGGTTGCAGCGCTCATCTCGTTTTACAGGCAGAGGGAGCCGGCATACAGCTTCCGGGTCATGTGGCCAGCATGACTAAGCCGCTTCTGGCAAACCAGAGCAGCGCACGGAAACGCCATTTACCTGCCCTCTGGCGCGGTACCTATTTATCTACTTGCACTTTGACGTGCTTTCGAACTGCTAGGTTGGCAGGAGCTGGGACCGAGCAATGGGAGCTCACCCCGTCGCGGGGATTCGAACTGCTGACCTTCTGATCAGCAAGTCCTAGGCTCTATGGTTTAGCTTAGGGCCTCATCAAACCTAAATCCGGCCCTGCATACAGGATGCACAAAATCAATGGGCTGTGTGTTGAAAGGTGGCTCCTAGCCTCCCCCATCCCCCAAAGTAGATAAGCTTCCAATATGCCAGGGTGGGGGCAAACGATGCAGAGACCCCTAAGTAAGCACCAAACACTTTATTCCAACCATATCTACTGTTAGCCAAAGCACTCGTGACCTATTTTATCTTGGAAGTATGAGCCTAACTACACAGAACAATACAAACCGAACCTTCAGAATTCTCCTGCAAGTCCCTAGGCCAGGGTGCTGTGGGGATCATGATCTTACTACTCTTCTTCTATGGCGATCACTCGTAGCCGAGTAAGATTGTCTTCCATAAACACAGTTTTCACAATGAGTTCTTAAGTGACTGTGGAGGCCAATTCTGGAGGGCCAGAGTTTGCCTATGCCTGTTCTAGAACATTCCTATCATCAGCAATGCAGGGATTTTCCCGCAGTGCACTGGGCAGGTTGAAGAGCAGCCTAGCTCTCAACCACTCTTTGTTTTGATGGAAAACTAGGCCCAACTAGGCTTCTCCCTGAGTTCCCCACAACCCCTTTTCTAAATTTGCCTTATTGGAGGGAAAGGGAGAGGCAGTGGGAACGCATAGCAAAAAGAATAAAAGGAAGACACTTTCCTGTTAAAGGTAAAGGGACCCCTGACCATTAGGTCCAGTTGTGACCGACTCTGGGGTTGCGGCGCTCATCTCACTTTATTGGCCGAGGGAGCCGGCGTACAGCTTCCGGGTCATGTGGCCAGCATGACTAAGCCACTTGGTGAACCAGAGCAGCGCACGGAAACGCCGTTTACCTTCCCGCTGGAGCAGTACCTATTTATCTACTTGCACTTTGACGTGCTTTCGAAGTGCTAGGTTGGCAGGAGCAGGGACCGAGCAACGGAGCTCACCCCGTCGGGGGGATTCGAACCGCCGACCTTCTGATCGGCAAGTCCTAGGCTCTGTGGTTTAACCCACAGCCCCACCCACGTCCCTTTGGAGCCAAATCAAGACTTTTTGCTATTGCTATTGTAAACGACTGGGAGCCAAAAACCTTTGCTGATCTATTGCCAGAGATTTAGCAGTACAGTGGTGTCCCGCAAGACGAACGCCTCGCAAGACGAAAAACTCGCAAGACGAAAGGTTTTTTCGTTTTCGAGTTGCTTTGCAAGACGAATGTCCCTATGGGCTTGCTTCGCAAGACGAAAACGTCTTGCAAGTTTGTTTCCTTTTTCGTAAAACCGTTAAAACCCAGGGTGCATTGCTGGAAGAGGTGCAGTTGCGACTTGACCTCGAGGAGCAACACATTGCACGCGGTGTGGTGGCCTTTCTGAGCTTTTTAAAGAGTTTGCTGGATTTTGAAGCTTTTCCAAAACTTCTTTTGCAGCTGTTTGGTAAGTTAAACTTTTAAAACTTTTTGGGGGGTTTTTGGATTTTGGGTTGGGGTGTTTAGAATTCAAGGACTTGGTGTTGGGGAGAGGTTTGCAAGAATCTGGGAGCTTGTGTGGTTTTTTTTTTAATTTTTATGATTTTTTGTGACCATTGGGCCATGTTGTTTTTTTTTTTTGAAAAAAATTCTGGGTTTTAAATTTCTGTGTGCTGGGTGGATGGGGGAACAGCTGGGGAGGTGTTTGCAAGAATCTGGGAGCTTGTGTGGTTTTTTTTTAATTTTTAATATTTTTAGTTAACATTGGGCCAATTTGTTTTTTTTTGAAAAAAATTAAGGGGTTTTAAATTTCTGTTTGGTGGGTGGATGGGGAACAGCTGGGGAGGGTTTGCAAGAATCTGGGAGCTTGTGTGGTTTTTTTGAATTTTTATGATTTTTGTGACCATTGGGCCATGTTGTTTTTTTTTATAAAAAAATTTTTGGTTTTGAATTTCTGTGTGCTGGGTGGATGGGGGAACAGCTGGGGAGGGGTTTGCAAGAATCTGGGAGCTTGTGTGCTTTTTTTTGAATTTTTATGGTTTTCTGTAACCATTGGGCCATGTTGTTTTTTTTTAAAAAAAAATTCTGGGTTTTGAATTTCTGTGTGCTGGGTGGCTGGGGGAACAGCTGGGGAGGGGTTTGCAGGAATCTGGGAGCTTGTGTGCTTTTTTTTTGAATTTTTATGGTTTTCTGTAACCATTGGGCCATGTTGTTGTTTTTTTGAAAAAAATTTCTGGGTTTTGAATTTCTGTGTGCTGGGTGGCTGGGGAACAGCTGGGGAGGGGTTTGCAGGAATCTGGGAGCTTGTGTGCTTTTTTGAATTTTTATGGTTTTCTGTAACCATTGGGCCATGTTGTTTTTTTTGAAAAATTTTCTGGGTTTTGAATTTCTGTGTGCTGGGTGGCTGGGGAACAGCTGGGGAGGGGTTTGCAGGAATCTGGGAGCTTGTGTGGTTTTTTGAATTTTTATGGTTTTCTGTAACCATTGGGCCATGTTGTTTTTTTTTGAAAAATTTTCTGGGTTTTGAATTTCTGTGTGCTGGGTGGCTGGGGGAACAGTTGAGGAGGGGTTTGCAACAGTTGGGGAGGGGCTGGGGGAACAGTTGAGGTTTTTGAAGACTTTGGTGATTTTTAAAGCTTTCCCAAAACTTCTTTGCAGCCATTTGAGGATTTTGAAGACTTTGGTGATTTGCAGCCATTTCGTAAGTTAAACTTTTAAAACTTTTTGGGGGTTTTGGATTTTGGGTTGGGTGTTTGGAATTCAAGGACTTGGTTGTGGGTTTGAATTGCTGATTTTTTTTTCTTTTTCTGAGTTTACAAAGGTAACAGCTGTGCTGCCATGGGACCCAAGAAGGCTGCTGCTGCGGAGGCCGGCGAGAGGAAGAAGGAGAAGGTGACGCTGGAGATGAAGAAGGAGATCATCCGGAAGCACGACGGTGGAATGCGTGTGACGGACCTCGCCGGGAGTACGGCAGGAACCCATCGACCATCGGGACCATCCTGAAGATGAGAGAGAAGATCCTTGCGACTGATGCAGCCAAGGGAGTCACCAGGATCGTGAAGAACCGCCCAGCTGTTCTGGAGGAGGTCGAGAAGTTGCTGCTCATCTGGTTAGAAGAGAAGCAGCGTGCAGGGGACACAGTGACTGAGGCCGTGATTTGTGAGAAGGCCAAGGCCTTGCACGCAGACCTCATCCGGGAACAGCCAGGAACCTCGGCCGAGCCAGAAGTCTTCAAGGCAAGCAGAGGCTGGTTTGACCGGTTCAAGGCAAGATCCGGAATCCACAGCGTGGTCAGGCATGGAGAGGCTGCCAGTTCTGATGTTCCTGCGGCTGAAGACTTTGCCTTGGAGTTCCTGGAGGTTGTGAAGACGGAGGGCTACGTTCCACAGCAGGTCTTCAACTGCGACGAGACCGGGCTGTTTTGGAAGAGGATGCCCAAAAGGACTTTCCTCACACAGGAGGAGGCCAAGTTGCCTGGCCACAAGCCCATGAAGGACCGTCTGACCCTGCTCTTCTGTGCCAACGCAAGCGGCGACCTGAAGATCAAGCCCCTGCTGGTGTACCACTCGGAGAACCCACGGGCCTTCAAGAAACACAAGGTCGACAAGGAGCGGCTGAGTGTCATGTGGCGATCCAACAGCAAGGCTTGGGTCACACGTGTGCTGTTTGTGGACTGGGTCAATCTTGCCTTTGGCCCTGCTGTCAAACAGTACCTGCTGGACAACGACCTGCCGCTGAAGGCTTTGCTTCTGATGGACAATGCTCCTGCTCATCCTAAAGGCCTTGAGGTGGACTTGTTGGAGGAGTTCAGCTTCATCAACATCATGTTCCTGCCGCCTAACACCACGCCACTGCTCCAGCCGATGGATCAGCAGGTCATCGCCAATTTCAAGAAACTCTACACCAAGGAGCTTTTCAGGCGATGCTTCGAGGTGACTGATTGCACCACCATCACCCTGCGGGAATTCTGGAAGGACCACTTCGACATCGTCACCTGCTTGAAGATGATCACCACGGCCTGGAAGGGGATCAGCCAGAGGAATTTGAATTGCGCTTGGCGCAGCCTGTGGCCGGACTGTGTGGCACCAAGTGACTCTGATGCACCAGAGTCGACAGTGGTGCAGGACATTGTTGCCTTGGGGGGACCATGGGCCTGGAGGTCACAGAGGAGGACGTCTGCGAGCTGGTGGAGGAGCACGACCACGAGCTGACCACCCAGGAGCTGGTTGAACTGCAGTCAGAGGTTGCGCAGGAGCAGGCCTCGCTGGAAGAGGAGGAAGCAACTGAGGAACGGCTGTCCTCCAAAGAACTGAGGGACATTTGCCAGAAGTGGAATGAGGTGCAGGCTTTTGCAGAGCGGCACCACCCTGACAAGCACGTGGCACATGACCAAGCGAACATTTTTGATACGACGGTCATGTCGCCTCTCAGGGAGCTGCTGAAAAGGCGGATGAAGCAGCAGACCATGGACAGGTTCCTCAGCAAGAAGCAAAGAGTGGAAGAGGAACCTTCTTCGAGTGGTCCCCAGAGTCTTAGAAAATGTAATGTACCCTTTTTGATTTTTAAATGTTTTTCCTGTCATGTTTAGAAACTTAATTTATTGTTCCTTCAATTTTTGATATGCTCTTTAAAGTATGTGTGACTTTAAAGAGCAGTTAATAAACTCTTGTTGTACCAAATTTGGCTTTGATTGGACTTTTTGACCATAGGAACGCATTAATTGAATTTCCAATGCATTCCTATGGGAAACCGTGCTTCGCAAGACGAAAAATTCGCTAGACGAAAAAACTCGCGGAACGAATTAATTTCGTCTTGCGAGGCACCACTGTACATCCCCATCTACTCACCCCCAGGTTCCTGCTGCTATGGGGAGAATGAGTGGTAAAATCCTTAGCTATTTGCAGGTTATCACTTGGACAGAGCAGGTATCAGGGTAACATTAGCAAAGACACTCTTGTGTTTGCTCCAATGACTCCTGGGTTCTGTAGGGAAGCAAATCCATTTTGCAGGAGGGAGTCAAAAGTGTAGTGGAAGTTTCCGTGACAAATCCACTTTTAAAATATGGGGAGGAAAGACTGATTTTAAAAGTGATGGGGGAATATATTGAAAAGTATGGTATGAATAAATAACTAATGGGAAGAAAAAAATACTACAATGTGCTGATCCTTGTTTTCTGTAACATTAGTATCTGTGGTGTGGGGTTAATCTGGACATCAACAGTGGCACCCAAATTTAAAGCAGGATTTTTCCTCCAGCCAACTGAGACTGATGAAAAACATGTCCATGACGCCTGTAATCATGGTGCCCAGATATATGCCTTGAAAACACAACAGCCACTTCCACAAATAGTTCAGGATACTGGTAGGGAGAATGTTTGAGAGAAAGTTATTTAATTATGGTAAACTGGAAAAAGTATATGGCATAAGAAAGCTAAAAACGCACACAGAAGGGCTGTTTAAATCATTTGTTGTCACAGCTTTCGCCCTTAGAGAAAAAGGCAAAGACAAGGCTTTTTCCCTCCAACAAAATGACTTCCCAAAATTTGTGAGGGAGTTTAAAAATAAATCATCTTGTCTTCTTAGCATTGGTTCCTGGGCTCAAGAACAAACACAACCCTTCATGTGGTTTCCCAAATTTACCACCTTCCACATTCAAAGAGAAAGCTAGTTAGAATTAAAATTAAAACTTCTGAGAAAGAATACAAAATATCCAAAAAATATGTAAGAGACCATGAACCAAAATTCACAGCCAACAAAAAGCCACACATTCCAGTCCTCCACATAGACAGCAGCTCAAAGTAACAGATCCTATAACTTTTCGTTGTCATTTTCTGTTGTTCTTTTCCTGCTTATTTTAATTTTATCTGACTTATCTTCTTTTAAAACCTTTTTAGGATGTATGTTACCTTGGGTGATTTTGGTACGAGGCAGAAGGTTGGTAAAAAATATCTAAAATAAATAAAATGTCCACATTAGTGAGTTCTCACTGCTATTAAAGCATCTCGTCAGCAAATAGGCATTTGTCCAATAACCATAGCTGTCAAGCGTCTCTTATTTGGCGGGATAGTCCCTTATCCCAGCGCCATGTCCCGCTGCTGTCCCTTATTGATGATGTCCCTTAAATAAGCTACTGAAGGTAATGTGGCCCTTTCTATGTCCAGCTGTGCTTTGTCAACAACAAATTGTTGCTTTTTTCTGTTGAATATATGCTATATGGTAATTTATGGACCTAATAGGTATCTAAAGCCATTTGCACGCAACAAAATATGTATTTTATCAAAGTAATTGTTGATCCCTTATTTTGGCTGCTGATCCCTTATTTTCGAGGCTGCTGGTCCCTTATTTTCAAATCTGTAAGTTGACAGCTATGCCAATAACCGTCGCTCCTTAACCCTTCTCTTAAATGGGGAACTACAACTAATAGATTGCCTGGTTCACCCTCCCTCCTCTCTGACCTCTGGATATGCTATAAATACTACACATACCCATGTTGCTTGTGCATGTGGTCATCCTCATTTTCCTTGAAGGGTCAGTGGTCCTTTAAAGCAAGAAGAGGGATTGAGTTATGCATACAGCCAATAAACAGTGTCACACCACTTTGAGATGCTACTTTCCATATCAGAATTCAAGTGCAGAACTAGGCGGGCTGCATGCATGGTTTACGCTCTTCTTGCCTTAAAAGAGTTACCGACAATCAAGTCAATACTGTTTCCATGAGAAGACCTCACGGAAAGGAACTACATCACCTGAAAGCGATGTTTCTTCAAGCTGCCTCCCTCATGCTTCAAATTAATTAAAATGCACAGTAAATGCATCATGTGCAACACATGTATTGCTCGGGGAATTGTTGCTCCTATAGCATCTAGTGCAGGCTTCCTCAAACTCGGCCCTCCAGATGTTTTGAGACTACAATTCCCAGCATCCCTGACCACTGGTCCTGCTAGCTAGGGATCATGGAAGTTGTAGGCCAAAAACATCTGGAGGGCCAAGGTCGAGGAAGCCTGATCTAGCAGCTTTCCGAAAGCAAGCTGGGAGTGCATTCAATGGTCGTTTACACATGAACAAGCCCAGCTGATTTGCCTCTCCCCACTCACACAGGAGCAGACGATGCCGCTGCGCCATGCAGGAAGGCACTGACATAAAGATCCATCGCATCCTGGCTACTGTCTCTTCGAGCTCTGCCGCTGGACGGAGATACAGGACCATGGAAGACAAGAACAGCCGTCTTAAGAACAGCTTCTTCTCCAGAGCGATCTCGGCCCTGGAATGGGAAGCCTGGACCTTGAAAGTCATCTAACTCCCAGTTGCACATCATTGATTAATTATGTTTTGGTGAGAAGCCAAGTACTCAAGTTGTCCCCAAAGGCAAATGACAATAAAAGATATTATTGATATTACATATTATTATTATTATTATTATTAAAAAATCAAACCCAAGTCCCAAACTAAGGGTGACAACCGAACCAGGGATTATGGCTTGGGTTAAATCAGGGTGGATTTGACTAAAATCAAATTTACGATTTAAATCATGATTTAAAAAATATTTAATAATAGAAATTACACACACACATCCGCAACACAAGAATCTTTTGCCCAACGTGGGGTGTCAACTTGAATAAAATATTGGGGAGGCCGAAGTAAGCTCTGCCCCACATAATCAATCACACCAATCAAGTAAGCTCCGCCCCACATTACCAATCACATAACCAATCAGGTAAGCTCTGCCCCGCATAATCAATCTCATAACCAATCAGGTAATCTCTGCCCCACATAACCAATCACATAACCAATCAGGTAAGCTCCGCCCCACATAACCAATCGCATAACGAATCAGGTAATCTCTGTTCCGCATAATCAGTCACATAACCAATCAGGTAAGCTCTGCTCCGCATAACCAATCAGGTAAGCTCTGCCCCACACAACCAATCACATAATCAATCAGGTAAGCTCTGCTCCGCATAACCAATCTCATAACCAATCAGGTAAGCTCTGCCCCACACAACCAATCACATAATCAATCAGGTAAGCTCTGCTCCGCATAACCAATCTCATAACCAATCAGGTAAGCTCTGCCCCACACAACCAATCACATAATCAATCAGGTAAGCTCCGCCCCACATAATCAATCACACAACACGGCATGCGTACGCCATTTGAGTGGCAAAACCCATCTACTTTTTTGTGCGGTGGGCGGGAAGAACCGGCTCCCTCAAATATTTTATTGAGGGGGGGCATTGAAGGGACCTCATCCCCGCAGCTCCCAGCTCGAACCCTGAGAGGAAGACCCACGGCCGAGCCATCTGGGCAGCGGCTGCGGAGGCGAGCCCACCTGAGGGCGCCCTGGGATGAGGGAGTGAGGGAAGAGAGCCTCGTCGCCCCTACGAATCCTGCCGCCTGAGGCCGCCGCCTCCCCTTGCCTCAGGGGTGGGCCGGCCCTGACCCCAATATCCCCACTTATGGACTTGGGGGGCGGGGGTGCTCGGGTCCCCCCGCCCCACCGACGACGACCCCCTCGGCCCCCGCCTCCCATGACGCCCTTCTCTTCCCCTCAGCACCTGACGACGCCGCTGCTGAGGGAGCTGCTGCTGCTGCTGCTGCTGCTGCTGAGGCGTTTGCCGGCCGACGGCAGCCGCGGGGAGCCTCCGCGTCGCCTTCTCCGCAGCAGCAGCAGCACGAGGCGGCGGCAAACGGGGGCGCAGGTCGTCGCCGCCGTCGCCGCCGCCGCCGCCATATCCGAAGGCCGTGGACGTCGCCGGCCTCTCGCGCCGGTCCGGGTCGCCGGCCGGCTTCGGGGCGGCTCCGCCTCTGGCTCCTCCCTGCGCCCGCCCAAAGACAGGCCTCGCCGCCGCCGCCGAGAGAGGGACAGGGACGCTGCGCGGCAGGCCGAGCGGGGTGGCTCAGAGGCAGGAAGGAAAGGGGGGACCGGCTTCCTCCGTATGAGGGAGGGGAGCTGATCTGTCTCTCTATTTTTTTCCTCTCTCTCTCTCCCCCACCCCCTCTCGCCTTTCTCCCTCTCTTTCTATCTATCTCTGCCTATCTCTCGCTCTCTTTCTATCTCTACCGCTTTCTCTTTCTTTCTTTCTCTCTCTCTCTCTCTCTCTCTCTCTCTCTCTCTCTTTCTATCTGTACCTCTCTTTCTGTCTATCTCAACCTCTCTACCTCTTTCTCTCTCTCTCTCTCTCTCTATCTGTACCTCTTTCTTTCTGTCTATCTCAACCTCTCTACCTCTTTCTTTCTTGCTGTCTATCTCAACCTCTCTATACCTCTTTCTCTCTCTCTCTCTTTCTATCTATCTGTACCTCTCTTTCTTTCTATCTCAACCTCTCTACCTCTTTCTTTCTTTCTTTCTTTCTCTCTCTCTCTCTCTCGCTTTCTGGCTGTACCTCTCTTTCTTTCTGTCTATTTCAACCTCTCTGCATCTTTCTTTCTTTCTTTCTTTCTTTCTTTCTTTCTCTCTACCTCTCTCTCTCTCTCTCTCTCTCTTTCTTTCTTTCTGATGATTAAATTGATTTTGTACTAATGTCTGAGCCATATTAACTTTATTGTAGTTTTCTGGAATTGGAAGAATTACTAGCTTCATTATAGCTTTGCCTCAAGTTATTCCTACAATTTTCTTACAGAATGCCACTATTTGGTAGATATAGTGTGAAGCTGTTCCCATGGAAAGATCACTACCTGCTGAAGGCATATGTGTGGATCTGGCTGCCCACCTTTGCTGTGGGCTAGGATGGTCCGGCCATAGAAGCTGAAAATGATGCTGCCCCGGGAAGATGTGAAGCAGGAGGCTAACTGGGGCAATTGACACTCCCACCTAAACAGCCTGGCTCCCTGCAGTTTTATGAGGAGTTGAGCATTTGATAGATATATCAATATAGTTCTGTACTGTGTCTTTTGCACTTATGTCCTAAATAAGTTTGGTTCCACTCAGTTTACACATTAATGTGTGTGTTTTTATTTGTTTGTTTGTGTGTTTGTTTGTTTGTTTTAAAAAAGCAGCATGAAAATATTGTTTAAAAAATCAACACTTCAGAGATTTATAAGATGGTCCTAGCGTTGCCTTTAAAAAAATGTTTCCCTTCTTGCTGTTTCAAGCAACAGGAACACCCGGCTTTGGGCTTGTCCACACTGGAGTTTACTGTGTGTTTGCAGCTGTTTGTGTTCCCATTTAATTTGTGCAGTTGAGACATTACCCTCAAACAACACCAGTCTCTATTCTTTTCCCCTTTTTATTTGGGATTACCCAATATGGGGATAACCCAATAAACTGGGGCAAATTGGGGTTGGTATTTGAGGTTGCAGACAATTTATTTTAGGGTTTGGGGGTGAGTGGATCAATTGTCACTTTCTGCTGCTCTCCTTTCAATACCCACTACTTCCTCAATGCTTTCATTTTTTTTTGTTTTCAGCTGTGCTTGTTACTATGTCCTGTGTGCTCCTGAATAGATGAATATTCTCCCCCTGCTTTTGATCCCTGAGATTTGAGATCTATCTATCTTTTCCTCAGATTTTCACAAAACCAGAAAACCGAACAAGCAAATTTACAGTTGCCTAACTGTGCTTTTGCACACTTCTTGGGAGGGGAATTCCTTTTAGAAAACAAATAAGCCTCGGTGCATATCAGAGAATCAACAAATTAGAAGGCATAGGCAAACGAAAAAGGGAATGCCTTCTGAAGTTGCTCCTCACATGCAAATTCAGATAGCTGTGGGTACAGACTACACCAGTCTAATTCAAATGGGGAGAAAGTGGGTTGACATATAAGTAGTGCCCAGATGTGTACAAGCCCTGTAAGTGGTGCACAGATGTTCAAAATGTGGCTGCAAATGCCCCTGCGAGTAATGAGACATGGTGGCCTGCTATCTATCCCTCCCATGGACATTGTATTGGGGTGGGAGAGAGGTGGCTGTCTGCAGGGGCATCTGTGCCCACATATTTAATGTCCATGTATAGGTCTCATATAGAATAGGGTCGCGGGTGGCGCTGTGGGTTAAACCACAGAGCCTAGGACTTGCCGATCAGAAGGTCGGTGGTTCAAATCCCCACGACGGGGTGAGCTCCCGTTGCTCAGTCCCTGCTCCTGCCAACCTAGCAGTTCGAAAGCACGTCAAAGTGCAAGTAGATAAATAGGTACCGCTCTGGCGGGAAGGTAAATGGCGTTTCTCTGCGCTGCTCTGGTTCGCCAGAAGTGTCTTAGTCATGCTGGCCACATGACCCAGAAGCTGTACGCCGGCTCCCTCGGCCAATAAAGTGAGATGAGCGCCGCAACCCCAGAGTCGGTCACGACTGGACCCAGTGGTCAGGGGTACCTTTACCTTTATGGCCTTTTAAGCTCTCTCTCTGTGTGGGGTGGATTTGGGAGTTATTGTTTGTTTATGTATTTTTGCGTTTCTATTCTTTAGACTGCCCTATGGTGCACAGATAAGGGACGCAGGTGGTGCTGTGAGTTAAACCACAGAGCCTAGGACTTGGCAGGAAGGTTGGCTGGACCTAATGGTCAGGGGTCCCTTTACCTTTATAGGTCTCATGGCCAGTTGGACTGTAAAGAAAGAAGTGAAGTATTTTTTGAAAGGCAGTTCTTCGGCTACCTCCTAAGCGTGTGAGTAAGCCTCAGCCTCCCCCTGCCTTCTCAGAACTGAGCAATCTGAGGGATAAGTACACACTGATCCACACATTATTCCAGGAACATCCCTTTTTATATGCATTTTTATTGGGTTTTTTTACATATCATTTTCAACAATCATTTAACATAACTTCTTATCTTATACATTATTTTAGACTTCCGTCAACCACCTCTGATGATTTTCTGTTCTTTATCACTTATTCTGCATTTCTTAATTTCTCTATTGCTCTTAATTAATCATTAACTAATAATTCCCTTCATGGTCTTTCTTGCAATATTTCAAATACTCCTCCTTACAGAACTTCTTGCAGTCCTACTAGCGTAATCTGTTCATTACAATTGCTTTTCAAATAGTTCATATACAGGTATTTACTCCAATTTTCTAAGAATCTCTGGTCCCGCAGGTTTCGAATCCTTCCTGTTAATTTATCTAATTCTGCATAGTCCTTCCAGGAGCATTCCTGTGCAAAATCTGACATGCCATAGAACCACCACCAGGAGGTAGTGGTGGTAAATAACTTTTTCTTCCCGCACTATGGCTGCTTAAGCAAAATTGTGTCTGGCAGAGCTTTTCTGGTGGATTTCTAACTAGCTAGTAAAAATGATTCACCAAAAGACAAGTCGTCTACATCCTGCTGGAACAGTATCACACAATTCTTTGCAGAGAAAATCACCCAGCTTTGTTCCAACTTGTATGCCACAGTTCAGCTTACCATAATTATTTGGATAATCACTTTGGCACTGTTTATCTCAAGGATGCCGACAACTCACTTGGCATTGTGAAGGGTACCACATGTAGCTTGTTCCCCAATCCATCATGTGAAAGACACTTTGAGTAGCAGGGGTTTGGTCCAAATAATGAATGTCTCCTTGAATGAGGAAGGAGTCTCATCTCATTATGGAGGTGATGGCAATCATGCAAGAACACTGGGGAAGCATTGCAAAACAGCTGATATGCATGCAAGGACACTGAGGGTTGGGGCACCCCAAGTCTGAGTCATGCAATCTTTTTGAATGCCCAGAGAGTGCTAGGGTATCAAATGGTTGTGAAGATCAGGAGTTAAAAACTTAGCTGGAGCAGAGCATAAGGGAAGTATTTGTTTCCACTGGCAGGCCAAAATCCTACACCTATAAAGTGTCAGGAGTGAACTAGCAGTAAATCACTCCATGCATGTTGGAGTTACCGTATTTTTCGCTCTATAAGACGCACCAGACCACAAGACGCATCTAGTTTTTGGAGGAGGAAAACAAGAAAAAAAATATTCTGAATCTCAGAAGCCGGAACAGCAAGAGGGATCGCTGAGCAGTGAAAGCAGCAATCCCTCTTGCTGTTCTGGCTCCTGGGATAGCTGCGCAGCCTGCATTCGCTCCATAAGACGCACACACATTTCCCCTTACTTTTTAGGACGGAAAAAGTGAGTCTTATAGAGCAAAAAATACGGTAACTCTTTATTAGCAAAAACACAGTCTGTACAGGAGTGTCAGGCCTTATGGGCACAGCAACCCATCTCCGGTAGGTCTTGCCCCCATGAAGCAGGTGAAGGACTGAAGGTCCCTGTCTCCCCGCAGCTTCCTAACTACCCTCTCCAGGGTTCCCCCCTCCCAAGCAATTGGAAACTGGGTCTGCGCATCACTAATCTCTCCTCCATTTTCTTCATTCTCTTCTGGTTCTGGGGGAGAAGGCGGGAGGGGAGCTTGTCACAGCAGGAGGGAGAGACACCAGGCTGACTCATCTCTGCCTCTTGGCCTCTCCTCCCATTCTGATTCTGGACTGCTGTCTGCCACAGACTCTCCCTGCTCACTAAACCCTGTTACCTCTTCAGCTTCCGACACCACTCTTCTCCCTCTGACCACTCATCATAGTTCCACCATCAGGGGCTCTGAGCCTTCTTCCTTTGGTGGTTCCCTGGCTGGTTCCTCCCACCATTCCTCTGCCTCCAACCTATCTATTATGTACTGAAGTTCTCACCCTGGGCCAGCAGGGGGATACTGTAGATAGTTTTCACTCAGGTCCACATGTGCAAATAAGGAATTGAAAGTGATGTTCAGTGATTGGATAGTTACAGAAAGTTGTTACTGTTGCTTTGTAGTTGAACTCTATATAAGCAGGTTGGCTGAACCCTTCACTTCATATAATAATAATAATAATAATAATTTATTATTTATACCCCGCCCATCTGGCTGGGCTTCCCCGGCCACTCTGGGCGGCTTCCAAAAGAATATTAAAATACTATAATACATCAAACATTAAAAGCTTCCCGAAACAGGGCTGCCTTCAGATGTCTTCTAAAAGCCTGGTAGTTGTTGTTCTCTTTGACATCTGGTGGGAGGGTGTTCCACAGGGAAGGCGCCACTACCGAGAAGGCCCTCTGCCTGGTTCCCTGTAACTTGGCTTCTTGCAGTGAGGGAACAGCCAGAAGGCCCTCGGTGCTGGACCTCAGTGTCCGGGTAGAACGATGGGGGTGGAGACGCTCCTTCAGGTATACTGGACCAAGGCCGTTTAGGGCTTTAAAGGTCAGCACCAACACTTTGAATTGTGCTCGGAAACGTACTGGGAGCCAATGTAGGTCTTTCAAGACCGGTGTTATGTAGTCTCTGCGGCCGCTCCCAGTCACCAGTCTAGCTGTCAGTTCTGTTCTGGCCTGTGAATAAACAAGAGCTGTCTGAAGAATCGCTGTGTCGTCTGATATGTTCACCCACAACTTAACACCATCCATGACATAATCACTGAGGCTTTAAGAAAGAAAAGATGATCTCTGAGCATGCATAAAATAATGGGCATGGTTCCAGCCTTGATCATTTTAAGTGACAGAACAAGTCTCTCAATATCTTCAGCCAGCAAAACCTTAGCTTACTGCACAATATTTTCAGGAGATTTTTGGAGAAGGAACAGGTGGATTCGTCTCAAAGACCATAACCTGAATACAAACCTAAACTCAGTCTGCAGCATCTCTAGTTAAAAGGTCCTTAAGTGGCAATGCTATAAAAGACCCCCACTCAATTTGAGACCCTGCGGAGTCGCAGCTCAGGTAGGTGGATCACTAGTGCTATACAGGAATTTATTAAGTTCAGTGATACATGTTCAACACTCAGAGAGAATTGACAACTAGCTTGATACCGTATATCAATGAAAGCTTGCACCTAGCTTCTTTTATGCCAATGAGTTCTTCAGAAAAGTGATTGAACTGTATGACTACTCAGTGACTAAAATAAATAATAGGGGTAGGCCATACACTTCATGTTTCCTTTAATGAATCAATTCGGTTGTTTCCCAAAATGTGGCACTCTTTGGGAATTCTACTGCTTTTGGCT